CTGCATTCAGTACTGCAGAAAAGGCTCTTTTTGTCACCTGGGCACCAATAAAGTGCCCGTATGTTAGTGTTGACAATCAATCAAATCCTTGTCTGAGTTTACTTTACGTTCAAATGAAGCAAGTTAGGGGCTGAGAGATGATTCCCAAAGGGCGAGGAATTAAGGCACATGTGCTGCCTGCAGCTCACTCCAGTTCCAGCCCCAGCACCAAACGTGTCCTGAGCATCCCTGGGCACAGAGTCCTGGAGGTCCCCAAGGATCTGAAGGGTCCAAGCAGTGATAACACATCCCTGAAGATCTCACATTGAAATACTGGTAAACTGGCCAAAAATTGCCAGGAGGGACCCATCAGGCCTCCTGAGCACAGTTTGGGAGCATCTCCCCTTCCCCTATCCCCATTGATTTTTTTTTTTTGGCCACACCTGGCGATGCTCAGGGGTTACTCCTGGCTCTGCACTCAAGAATCAGTCCTGGGAGCTGGAACCATAGCACAGAGGGTCGGGCGTTTGCCTTGCACGCCGATGACCTGGGTCGATTCCCAGCATCCCATATGGTCACCCAAGCATCACCAGGGGTAATTCCCAAGTGTAGAACCAGGAGTAACCTCTGTGCATCGCTGGGTGTGAGCCAAAAAGCAAAAAAAAAAAAAAATCAGTCCTGGTGATGCTTGGGGGACTATATGGGAACCTGGGTTGGCTATGTGCCAGGCAAATGCCCTACCCACTGTACTATTGCTCCGGCACCCCCATCCACATTTGAGCATTTCCCTCAAATAAAAGGAAAACAGCATTGAAAGAAGCAGAAAACAGCTTTGCTCTTTCCTCTCCTATGTTTGGCTCTGCCAGTTCCACTACAGATGTGACCTGATCTCATCATTAGGGTGCGTTTTGTTGTCTTTTATTTGTATCTGTTTATCTATCTCTGTATATTCAACTGAAGATGAGAAAAGGGAGATTTGTCCCCTGCAGTGGTGAATAAATAGTTGTGGGTTTCACAGCACACTCATTGTTACCCAGATTCCACAGGAATCCAAAGGTGATAGGTGGTCCAGCGACTATAGCCTTGGACCAGGTGACCCTGAGGAGTCATCCTGGTCTGGCCACTCCCTCACTGTGTGTCTTCAGGAAACAGTCACTCAGGGGATCAGTGCTCATGAGTTGCCCTCATCCTTTTTTGTCCCAAGAGCCCCTGGACGTGGGAGCTGGGGTGGTGGTCCATGGAAGCTGGGGGCACATGCCTGGCAGCCTCTGGTAGGAGGGAGCCCTCCTCATCCCTCTCCTGATCCTGTCAGTGGGACAGCAAGGCAAGGCTGAGTGTGCCCTAGTCAGCAGTACCCAGGGACCTTGGCAGGCATCCAGGCCATGGAACGGCCACAGGAACAGTTGACATGCAAAGCAAAAAGGTCACCCGGCAGGAGCAGAGGAGAAATAAAGCTTCTCAGAGCAGTGGCTGGACAGTGAAACATGTCTCCACCCTTACTTATAGAAGCTTATTTCACTTGGAGAGCAGAGAGCTTTCCACATTCCTCATTGATTTCTGGGGGAAACCATGAAAGCAAGATTCTGCTGTTGTTGTAAATCGTGAGTGTGTTAGCCAGGGTCCCAGTGCCTTTGAGTGGAAGTGGCTGCCCACCACGCTGACTCCTGACTGACATGACAGGCTTGGAATTGCATCATCCTCACTGGGGACTATGCCTGGGACTTCTCTGAATGATTTTGTGGAAAAATAAATAGGAAAACCAGGAGTGAAACTAGTTGAAGAACATTAAGAGTGAGCTGTGCTCAGTGTGGGCGCTTGTGGGAGGGGCTAGAAAGGAGGGAGGGGGCGAGGGGCGTGCAGGGAAAAGTCTGGGAGACCATCATAGGCAAGGGAAGATTTTCACTTAAAAGATTCTGAGCATCAGAGGACCAGGAGCAAAGAAGAGGCCTGGTAACTCTGGGGTGACGAGCACGCTTGGGGAGAGGACTGGAGCTGGCGGGAATGGATAGTGATTTGTCATTCCAGGCGAGGAATGCCAAGAGGCAGATCCCAAGTTGCAGGGGGAGAGAGGGGAGTTGGGTTATATGAATATGAAGGGGTTAGGGGCTCAGAGACAGGGTGTTCGAGAGGAGGGGAAGGGGCACAAAGGAAAGCTGGGGAGCACCCGCAGAGTTTGTGGGGGCCAGGGGCTGGAGCCCTGAAAGGCGGGGAGGCCTGTCTGCAGTGTCCTCCTGAGAGCGTGCATGTGTCAAGGAAGCTGCTACCGGTCAGGTGAGACCAGGATTTGGGACTGTAGATCTGGGAGTCTCCAGGAGGGACACGTCAGCACTTCTGTGAGTTATGCACGGTTCTGGTAAGTGTCAGCACAGTTCTTGGAAGTTCTGCTCCCACCCCTTTTCCCAGGTTTGTCCCGGCTGACTTAGCCTCACATCCAGTTTCCCCGGGACCCAGCGTGTCTCTTGAGGCGTCCTGGGATTTCTGCCACACTGGGACCAGCTCAGGAGTGGGGCAGGAGCACCCAGTCTGTTGGGGTTTACTGTTTTCTAGATCCTGCAGCGTCAAATTCACTTCGGGAATACTTTGTTTGTTCAGTCTGTTCAGTTCTTCTCTCTCCTAGCAATGAACACACATACACTTTTTTGTAGATGAATTCTGAGCTTTCCTCGGACAGAACCCCAATCACAACTGATATTAGTCGCTGAATTATTAATTCGAACTTAACATAAAACAAATGCCCTAGTGAAACAGTGAGAGTAGCGCAGGACTATTTATTTTGAGTGACTAAACTATACACTTCCTGTGCAGTGTTAAGGAAAATTGGTCTTCATTATTCCAGGCAAATGTCAAGATCACTAAAGCATCGTAGCATTTTGACCTGTGTTATGTGGAACAAACTCCCCACATGTTTCTCATAAAAATATACATCAGAGATGGCTTCAAAATGAATGTCAAACTTAGTTAAAGATACAGACCTCTTCAAAGTTATTGTGAATATCAAACTCAACAATCAAATGCACATCAGCGTGAGTTATTTTTCCTTATTGGGCTGCCTCATGCTGATGGATTTAGCAAGTCTGTGAGTGTTATTCTAAGTGATGGAAGTTAGGTCTCTGCTTTGTCAAAATGACCTCGACTGGCTGCCTGCTGGGGCTCTGGAGAAACTCCATCTCTACCAATTTGGTGAAAAATGTGCATGATCGCTTCTAAAAACATTTTTAAGAATGTGCTATATCTTTCTTGACCTATGTTGTACCTGGTTGTAGACAAATGCAAAAGTTTAGCACTGTCCTCCCATTGTTCATCGATTGGCTCGAACGGGCACCAGTGATGTCTCCATTGTGAGACTTGCTGTTACTGTTTTTGGCATATCGAATACTCCACGGGGAGCTTGTCAGGCTCTGCCAAGCGGGTGGGATACTCACGGTAGCTTGCCGGGCTCTCCGAGGGGTGGAAGAATCGAACCCGCGTCGGCAGCGTGCAAGGCAAATGCCCTACCTGCTGTGCTATTGCTGTGCAATAGTTTATCAAATGAAATGCTTTTTTGTTATGTATCAATTAAATGTGAATATATATATTTATGATCAATACTTTTTTGTTTGTTGCTGCTGCTGCTGCTGCTGCTAGTGTTCTTAATACAGCAACATAATGTCAGCAAGAATAGCTTTTTTTGTAGGCCACATCCAGTAATGAAGCAGCGATCTGGGTTTATTTCTGGCTCTGCTCAGGGATCACTCCTGGTGGGGCTCAAGGGACCATATGTGACACGAAGGGATCAAATCCAGGTCCATCTTCTTGCAAGGCAAGTGCTCTACCTGCTGTACTATTGTTCTGGTCTCAAGAATAGCCTTTTTAAAGAGTTATTTTATTGTTTGCTTTTTGGCTCACACTTCTGGCAGTGCTTGGGGGACCATACAGGATGCTGGGAATTGAACCCGGGTCGCCTGCATGCAAGGCAAATGTCCTACCCACTGTGCTATCAGTCCAGCCCCAAAGAGTTATTTTAGGGTAATGAAAGGTAGGGGACTCAGGGAAGGGAGATGGTTGCACTGGTGGTATTGGAATTATGTATATGTGAAATCATCATTTATAGTATTGTAAATCACAGTACCTCAAGGAAGAAAAAAATTTTAAGTTCTTTTATTAAGAGGCTTAGAAAGCTTAAATAATTTTTAATTAATTAATTAATTAAAGGCCCTCTCGTTGATCATCGATTTGCTCGAGCGGGCCCAGTAACGTCTCCATTGGAGACTTTGTTGTTACTGTGTCTGGCATATCGAATACGTCACGGGGAGCTTGCCAGGCTCTGCCGTGGGGGCGAGATACTCTCGGTAGCTTGCCGGGCTCTCCGAGAGGGGCGGAGGAATCGAACTCGGGTCGGCCATGTTGGCTGCGTGCAAGGCAAACGCCCTAGCGCTGTGCTATCGCTCCAGCCCATATTTATATTTGTTTTCTTAGTGGCAACCAGATGTTTGATTTGTCTATTAACTTTTTCCTTTGAAGCAACTCCTAAATGGCAACTGGTTGAAGACAGTGAGTGGGGCAGGGGCGGGGGTGGGGAGGGGGGGGAGGTTATTTAAAACCTAAACTAGAACCAAATTGGAACTAAACAACTGAGGTTCAAGTTTTTGTCCACTCTGCAGAGTCGGGCTGTGAACAAGCACCTATAATAATAATACTTGAAGCTGTTCTGAAGATCAGTTAACTTTAAAAAGCATTTGAGAAAGTTACAAAGACAGAGTAAGCTCTATCTACAAAAATGTTAGCCGTTTTAAAATTTTTTTGGTGCGAGGGGTGTTGAAGAGTGGTAGCAATAAACAGTATAAAATTCTTAATTTCATGTGATGCAGGTTGAGTTTAATGCCACAATTAAAGAGAGGGTGTCACTCCAGAAAGTAAGATGAGGATAAAACATTCTTATGGATTTCATGTGCAACGGACTCCATTACTAGCCAAGTAGCTTCATTATTTGAAAGCTTTAGTATCCAGTAGAATAACAGCATAAAAACCTTTAAAAATCATCAGGCTGGGCATATCAATATTTATTGAAATACTGAAAAAAAATCCATTTTGTTGAGAAATTCCTGGCAAGAACTGACAAAACAATATGTAAGTCACTGATACAGTAAGAAAACGCCAACGAGTAACTGGACTGCACACGCTAAACATTGCCTGGACTCAGACCCCAGGTAATGGCAAGAGATCTGGAACACAAACATTCAGACATGACTGGCTGTGAGCTGACAAACGCAGCTCAAACCCGTCCCTTATCTATTCTGGTTTGCCTCGATTAATGAATCCTGTCATTGATAAGGCTGTTGCTGAGCACGGTCACGCAGGGGTTACCAATGAACACTCCAGCCACTTGCCTTGCAGACTAGCTGTGGCATTCTTGCCTGCTAGCTTGTCCTTGATGTCACCTGCGGTGTCCATCTTTCTACCTGTCCTCATGGTGCAACTTCTTCAGTGGGAGCTCAGTCTATTTCAAACATGGACTTCTACCATCCATGTCTTTGGGATTCTTGGCTGAATGTGAAAAACCCACCACATAACTCTCCTCCCATCTCCTAATTGCCCCTGTGTTCCCACCTCCTCTCATGCTGGACCGATTTCACTGACTGTTGCCAATACCATCCTTTCCACCTGTTGCTAAGCTCTCAGCCTTCAGCTAGAGACTGCAAGGCTAGTCTAGACTGCCAGTCTAGTTCATGCTTTGGATGTGAACTCGGATGAGTGATTTTTTTCCCCTGTCCTTTGAACCATGAGGATAACTGAGTGGCTGAGTCTAGGTCAGGTACTGTGATCGACCAGCTGAGCTAATGTGTACCCTTCATGTGGACAAGTATTAGAGGTGATTAAGAAAAATATTAAAATTATTCTCTTTGTACACACAGCAGTAATAACTAAGATCTTTGGTATACAACTTACAATGTTTGGAAAGGAAAACCAGGTAAGATTCCATCCTTGAAAATTTTACTTGAAAACAGGAAGCTACACGTCACATAATTTACAATAGATATTAAATAAACTACAGTCAGAATTATGAAGATTTACAGACATTGAATCAAGTGGATGTTTTTCCATTTATTAAGACCCTTCTATGATATCCCTGAACTATGTTCGCTAACTTGAAGACATGCTACAGTAAACACATATATTTGGTTTCTTCAGTCTTGGTTATATCTTATACAAAGGTGAAACCGAGGAACAATAAATTAGCATCATAATTGTCTACAGTTGAAACTATGATATACAATATAAATAAACTATTCAAAAGCCAGAAACATTTCTGAAAAAAAATTTAAGGGACTAGGAGATACTTTATTTATTTTTTACAGTTTCTACAAGTGATTGTGCCGCTGGATCATCTCCAAACAATTAAAGTCTAGATGAGATTCCCGTTTTTGATTTTAGTGTCTCACGACATACGATAATTAAGTACTGTTAAAAATAATTACCAATCCGAAAAATAACATTAGGGAAATTACTGCTTTCACTATTTGTGAAGTCACAGCTTCCCCCCTCCCCTCCTTAGGACCTAAACAATGTAAACACTATATTGCATTTGACTTTTAAAGGTTTTAATACTTTAAACAAATGTTGATCCACATCTATCTTTTAGAATTGTGAAATAAGGCAAGATTTCCATCCTAGTGGCTTGCATGCTCATAATACTGATAGTGCCGTTTGGAGAGTTAGTTTTGCAATGATTTGTCCTCTAATATTTGTTCTATAGCAGACTTTGGTCTTTGACTTAGAAAGGTCAGTATTACTCTCTTTCTGTTCCCTTTGGGGAAGATTTGAGTTACTTTGGTGTCTTTCCAGGCCATTTATAAAAATCACAATTTCCCTACAAGTGATTTTTTTTTTTCAAAATAATGATCTCTAAGGGATGTTCAGATGCCACAAGGACCATACTTGGGTCAATTTATCAGTTCATCCTTTCTTTTTGCATGGCTTAACATGCTTTGGTCGCATTTTAAACTACTGTGACTATTTGACATCCCTGCAGCCTAGATGTCAGGTTTTAATTTTAAATGAACAACAAACGTGGATGGCTGAAAAGACTGGTGTATCCCACCAAGCCTTGGGGCTAGAAATTGTTAGGAAGCCCAGCAACACTGAAGCCACATTCAGTAACAAGAGCAGAAACAACTCGCATTAGCTACGGAACATTTGCTTTAAGTTTGCAGTCATTTCACTAAACAGGAATGGATGCTTCCAGAGGATCAGAAGAGGGATACTGCCTGCTTTTTTTTTTTTCTTTTCAACGTTATGAACACACGACAGAACAAACCAGAACATATTTAAAATGGCAAGCTAACATGAATAGACTGTTTTTCTGAGCTGTTTGTAGGTCTAAGACACAGACATTCCAAATGAGGCTGCTTGTGATTTGGTGGAGCAACTATGGGCTCGGGCCAAGCATGATCCTTGGTACAGATTCTGTGATCCTAGGACAGAAGGTGCTGGATCCTGGGCTGGAAAGGAACAGGGCAGGGCGATTCTAGGCTTAGCTGATGGATTCTTGAGAAACATTTTAGTTCTGCTTTACCAGGGAGGAATTCAGGGAGCACAAATCCCCTGCTGGGTAAGCCTAATTAACAACACAGATCAGTCCTGAAATTTCTTCACAACAGAGATCAGTTAAATATACAAGAACTCATTGATCCGTTTTTGTTCTGACAGGTGTTGATATCCATCAGTGAGTTTATTCAGCTCCATCACTGTCTTCTCTGGAATCCTTTGGAGGTGGCGGGTGTGGGGGGTATGGTGTGAAGCCTTTGATTCACAGTTTGCCATACAAATACCCTGATCCATCATTTATTCGCTAGTAAGTATTTGATTATTATGCCTTTTTAAATGCAATCCCTTTAAACCAAGTTTGCAATCAGCATGGCTTGGAGCAGTTCAGAGTTTTGTTTTTTTCCTCCTTTTACTACTTCTTTTTTCCCTCCCCTTCCAATCTTTTTGTTTTGAAAGCAGAGCTCCAGGGCCTGGAATTTAGGCTCTTTTGGCATGCAACATCTCAATGAGGAGGTTATTATAGGGCACATCCCCATTCAGGTGCTTGTAGTAGAGGTATTCCTCAGCCTGCATGCTGATGGCCCGGATTTCTGGTAGCCGGAGGAGTAGCTGCCCAAATTTCTCTGTCTGCTGCGGGTAGTTGCACATTGTATAGTCCAGCAGGGCAGCGTTGACTTGTTCCTGGACACCTTCAACCAGCTGGAAGTTTTCAAGGTTTTTGACATCTGCATGAAAACAAAACAAACAAGCTCAACGTTTCAATGTCATTTTCATTCCAGTGTGCCACGGTGGTGTGTCTTTCCACCACCGCTCCCCAATATAAAATATACTGCTGAATATTCAGTAAACCCCATTCCGCAAGCTTCCGGGGAAAATGACCACAAAAGCACTTTGGAAGAACATCTTGTTGAAATTCTGCATATACCTCCAATCAATTAGACACCAATGGATTCTGAGCAAGGTCAACTCTTTTCATATCTTATAAAAGGAAAGGTTTGAGGATTCCTAAAGTGCAAGGATCATAATATATTGCCAGCAAATGAGTCCCTGGAGAAAGACTGATCTTAACCAGTATATTACACAATTCATATAATTCTGTATTAATTTTTCTGACCCAAGGTGAAATCTGTGTCCAGGGTATGATGTAGTTAATTCTAATAAAAAGTGACAGGGTTCTTGTTTCTGTTTGACATTTTCTAAATGATTCTGAAAGCCACTGACTTGTCTAGCCTATGCTAATGAACCATCTGGTACACTCCAGTGACTGCCAACGGAATGTTCGCTACTGGGAACTCACTAAAATATATATCTCAGTGACTAATGATCTTTATCAAATGAAAGTCTTGTCCTTTAGGCAGAATACAAGCCTGGATGGTCGGTGCCCTTTAACCTGATGTGGTTTCTGAATACCCGATTCTTCACCGTTTTTTCTCTGTTGTTGGTCCTGATTACCTCACATGGAGAAGATGGACAGGGCAATGGTTCAGTCCTACTCCTGGTGACCATCCAGTTGTTTTAAAGCATCTGCCTTAGGGTCCTTGTAAATATTGAATGAAATCAACACAGAGTCCAAATAAGACCGATTGACACACAAATACATACAGAGACAATGAGCAAGGAAAAATGGTTGTAAATGAATTTCTCTTCTGGAGTTTATTTATGAATTGTATAGTTTCTATCAATGAAGACTCTGGGAAAAATATGCAGATATGTATGTGCATTCACATGCACCCATACTAAGAAAGTAAACAGATGCGGCTGTCCCCCTTCATTCTATAGTTAAACAAAATTAAAATTCTGAAGTAAAGCACATACTACTATGGCTAAATGATAAAGCAATAAACTTAATCAATGGTTACCACAGTGACTCATGTCCAATATTTGGGGCACTTTCTGCCGTGAAACCACACCTGTATGTATGTGCATATTCATTCTACCATCTCTAAATGCTTCGATGATGAAGTTGCTTCCCATTGCTATTGAAGTGTGTCCAGGATGGTTTCAGTGTTTACATTTTCAGCCATAACTTGGCATTAAACAGAATCTTTCCCCCTTCCCATTCCCAAGTCTCTTCTACAAATTAAAAACAGTGAGAAATTAGGACCGAGAGAGTATGTATATCAGACTGCACATCTATTTCAAAGTCAGATGGGAGAATAAAGAGTTGTTCATTATTTATTAATGAGATGAACACTCAGACCAGCACTGCGCTATGAGGAGTTCTGCTTGTGGCATTCGAACCTATACCTCCTATTGTTATATGCATGCCACCTTCACACAGTACTCTTTATAGTTAATAAAGTAACTCCGGTTTATCTTCCTTAAATTATTATTATTTTTTTTGGCTTTTGGGCCACATACCTAGTTCTCTGCTTAGGGATTAACTCCTGGCAGTTGGGGGACCATATGGGGTGCCAGAAATAAAACTGGGTTCAGTTACATGCAAGGCAAATAAATGAACCCTAACCCTTGTCCTAGTTCTCTGCTCCCCCCTTAAATTATTTTTAAAATGGCAGAGGAAATGGCTCCAAGGGCTAGAGCAAATGCTTAGCCCATGAGAGAACTGGATTTGATAACTGATACCCCACAGTCCCCTGAACACAACTGGTATGGCCCCCCAAATATTTTTTTATTTTTCAAATTTTTTTAAAAAAATGTGCTCGGGGTTACTCCTTGATCTGCACTCAGGAAGTACTCTGGGCGGTGCTTGGGGGACCATATGGGATCCAACCCAGGTTGACCTCCTGCAAGGCAAATGCCCTGCCCACTGTATGATCCCTCCAGTCCCCTCCCCCAATATTTTTTCAAAAATATTTAGAAGTTTATTCAATATGGCTATGGATCAAACTTTCTTGTGGTTCAAAAAGACAAAATGTACACTGACATACCTTTAACATATACCTGGATATGGGAAGAAAAACCTATGTTCAGGCCAACTTTGCTCTTCTATGCATGGTCCTCTCATAAGTGCACAGAAAGCAATATGCTTGCAGCATGATTTTTTTTCTCTTTTGCCAGCATCAAACATTGACCCTAGAGACTCACACACACAAGCTAGTGTTTCACTGCCGAGATACATGGTCAGCCAAGAAAGTAAATGTGATCTCTAGCAGTTTCCCTGCATTCTGAACATCTTGTGTGTCAGAATTTTACTTCACTCTCTCCAATTTAGAGAAGACCGCACTTAGCTATCTCTTTTAGATAAGATTAGGAGGTAAAAAAGAAAGCAAGTTCCTTCCAGTTTTACTGTGATTTAAGCCCAATTACAGAAAAAAAAAAGAAAGAAAGGAAAAAAAGAAAGAATTACTTGACACTATAGTGAGAGATATTCTCACCTGGTGGTTTATTTGTTTACAGTACTGCATGTTACATGCTTTTTTTTTAATGTAGGAGTACTGCTATTTATTTATTTATTTTTTATAATCTTATTTATTGAATCACAGTGAGAGCAGTTACAAAGCTTTCGACTCTAAGTCTCGGTCATACAATGAAACACCGGTACCTTCACCAGTGCCCATTCTCCACCCCCAACAACCCCAGTATATCCCCATCCCACACCCTCCCCCTACCTGTGGGGCAGATGATTTTCACATTACTCTCTCTCTACTTTGATCACATTCACTATTTTGACACCAGACCCAACATTATTATTTGAGATTTTACCCCAACACTCAGATCTGCTGAAAAGGCAACAGTAGACAATTTGTGTTCTATTGCTGGTTACGAATAACATATGATGTCACATGGCTGCAGTAGTGGCCGTGCGATTTTGAAATTCCAAAATTTTAACACTTAAATCTGGAGGGATTTCTGTCAAAACCTGCTGGGTTCCAAGGTTTGCTCCTGAGTCTCTGGGATCATGGTCGTTAAGCAGCTTGATCAGGAGCCAGAAAGGCTGTTCGTGAGCAATGACTTGGGGTCTCGTTGGGGTGGGGAGGACAGGACCGGCTCCACCCCCATCCTGTGAGGCCCAAAATGTCTCGTCACTGTGGGCCCAAGCCTGACTGTCCAATGGCCTCTGGAGGATGGCACCCACCAAGCCACCAAGGGGAAGCAGACGGAGGGACAGCATCCTTTCCCACCATGGGGTGGCCCGGCAACAGTAACCTACTGTGGGGTTCAACGCATTTCTGCCAAAAGCCACTGGGTTTCGAGATTTGTTTCTGAGTCTCTGAGATCATGGCCGTTAAGCAGCTTGATCAGGAGCCAGAGAGGCCGTTTGTGGACGATGACTTAGGGTCTCGTTGGGGTGGGGAGGACAGGACCAGCTCCACCTCCATCCCATGAGGCTCTGCGTCTCATCACTGTGGGCCCAAACCTGACTGTCCCAGTAGCCTCTGGAGGATGACTGTCCAGTAGCCTCTGGAGGATGGCGGCCACTGGGCCGCCAGGGGGAACAGGCCAAGGCACGAAACTAATTCCCACCTGGGTTGGCCCAGCACCGGTAACCTACTGCATGGACCGGACGCATTTCTGCCAAAAGCCACTGGGTTTCGAGATTTGTTTCTGAGTCTCTGGGATCATGGCCATTAAGCAGTTCAATCAGGAACCAGAGAGACCATGCCTCCAATTATATAGCTGAGTCAGAGGTGGTTTGCGGTTGTGTTTCCCACATACCTAACTTTTGGCCGTTTACTTTCTTGGTAAACTTTGCCCCAAGTTTTTGGGGTCTGGCCAAAGGCACAGCAGCAATTTTGGGGTATCTGGAAGTCTGAAGGCGCCATCAGGCTGCTGATGCACTCACCTCACAGGTACAGATTGACTTGCTGGCGGCACCATACCCCCGGAGTATTCTATTTATTCAGCCACTGATTAACTGATTAAATTGGCTGCATGCTACTTGTTTACGGTGGTCAAAAAGATCAATGTGGAGGATATAGAAATTTGATCAGCATAAAATATAAAATAACTGAACAATATCCTTTATATAAAGTTGTCCTTGAGGGGCCAGAGTTGATAGTACGGCGGGTAAGAAATTTGCCTTACACACGACAACCAGGTTTGATCCTCAGCATCCCATATGAGGCCCTGAGCATTGCCAGGAGTAATTTCTAAGTGTAGAGCCAGGAGTAACCCCTGAACATCACTGGGTATGAACCCCCAAACAAAAATATAATTAAAAAAATTAAGTTGTCTTTGAAACTTTCTCTCTCTCTCTCTCTCAATTTTTGGGTCACACCCAGTGGTACTCAGGGTTTACTCCTGACTCTGAGCTCAGGCTTTACTCCTGGTAGAACTCAGGGAACCATACATGGTGCTGGGGATCAAACCCTGGTCAGCCGCATGCAAGATAAATGCCCTACCTGCTGTGTTATTGTTCCGGCCCCCAAAATAACATTTTCTTTATTTCTTTCTTCCTTTTTTCCCCTTCCTTCCTTCCTTCCTTCCTTCCTTCCTTCCTTCCTTCCTTCCTTCCTTCCTTCCTCCTTTCTCTCTTTAATAACATTTGAGAACTAGGATTTACATTCTGTAATAAATTATGTTACTGTGTTAAGAACAGCAGCAGCAGCAGACAAAAAAGGATTGATCATAAATTCTGGCTTATTTGCTTCCTACTATTACAGATGGCCTCTTTTTTTTTTTTTTTTTGGTTTTTGGTCACACCTGGTGATGGACAGGGGTTACTCCTGGCTCTGCACTCAGGAGTTACTCCTAGCGGTGCTCAGGGGACCATATGGGATGCTGGGAATCGAATCCGGGTCAGCTGCAAGGCAAACGCCCTACC